CACAGTAGGACTTTTGACCCTCGTGGAGTGGACTAGGGCTATGCCCACATGAAGATCAGAATGAGCAGGCTTTGGACAGACGGCTATGTTCAGCTTGCTAGAAGCTCTGTTTCGGGTACTGACTGCTTTTAAACTGTCATCGATGAAGTACCGTATATATATATATATATATATATATACGGTACTTCATCGATGACAGTTTAAAAGCAGTCAGTACCCGAAACAGAGCTTCTAGCAAGCTGAACATAGCCGTCTGTCCAAAGCCTGCTCATTCTGATCTTCATGTGGGCATAGCCCTAGTCCACTCCACGAGGGTCAAAAGTCCTACTGTGATCAATTCAACATCTAGAGTTCAACAGCTGTGTTGCACTTCGAGCGTGCAACGACTAGCTGATACATACTGTGATAAAAACTAACCGATTCTTTGATTAGGAGAAGTCAAAACCAAGCCAGTCACATACGGAAAACCAGTCGTATTATTGAATTCACACATTTGTTACCACACAAGCCTGGCCCACCGGAAAACAACATAGGTTTCATTTGGTTACTATGTACGTGCAGTATTCCGAATTGAACATAATCTACTCTGGCTTCCCTTATCTTGTTTTTAAAGTCGGTCATACCAAACCCGACTACTTAGTTTTCCATTTGTTCTGCACTCAACGCCAATCGAACTGCCAAACAGCTAGGATTACTAAGTGAAGAAGACAATTTCACATAGCACCAGAGCTAAAAATAGTTTCAACAGGAGTGAATCACCACTCTTGGACTGCTAGCTATGAGCGCCCTGATGATATCTCTCCGATGTTTGCAAGCAAAGCTCACTAGACAGACCGACAGCCGCCGGATCAAGAGTCCATAATGGCAACAGGTGGACGAATTGTCAACTGCTACTCTCATGCTTCACAAGTAGCAGCCCGGTTAAGTGATTTTATGCGGAATTTAAAAAAAGCAAGCATATGCTGGCCTTAATGTTACTTTACAATGCCGCTGGCCACGGACCTCAGTCGTTGGTCATCGGCACATGTGTGAACCAATGGTACTTCAAGAGTTTCGTCTGTGCTTACAGTATCTAAAGAAAACGGTTACGGTGTAGCTGCATTGCTATGTATTTTAAAAACCACCGCCTGGATGAGAAATGTCCCAAACCTATGGGCTAGAAAAGTTACACAGGTCATTTATGAGCAATTCAATGAACCCAACATAATTTGAAATGAAACCAAATGTCGATCAGAACTTATGCAGTCATTCAACAGCACCACGACAACGGGAGTGCCATCGTGCCCTTTGCCAAACCTTAGTAAGGCCTACTTATTGTCTGTTAAAAGTGCACAGCCATCAAAGCCTGCCTACGCCACACGAGTACCCTGAGGTGTTCGCACGCACAAGCCCTCATCGACGGGCTGAACGATAGTGACAACAACCGGTATATCGTAATGTCGTGCACCGCATGTGGACCTGATTGCCAAAAATTCAGGTACAGGTAGACAGGTTCACATAGCGAAAGTCCTGACAGCGTTGGGTTCCCGTTAACTTGTCACCACAACAGTCGTCTGAAGACTCGATGACAATGGGTCAATAATCTTGGGTCTCGATCAGTTCCAATCCAGTCTGCTAATTAGTCCTCAAAATTAACCAGGTGTTGTTAGGTACTATGACATTTTGCCGCCAGAATTGACGTTAGATGCTTCTAGCAATCTCATTTTCTACGCTGCATCTGCAGACAGCAACACCTGGAGACAAAATTCTGTACACATGTTACAAACGTTTCAGAATGATAATTATTTGCGTATTTTCTACTCCGGTGGTGTGAATTTGAAAGATATCAGTACTGAACTACAGTTTGTGACGGAAAATGATCGCTTAGGCCTCCCGGTATCAGATATAAGATACGGAATATACCAGTTTTTGGGTGAGTTACTTTATACAACAAGCTGTCCAAGTACTAACTGGGAAGTTCGGATAAAATCAATCAAGAGTCGAATTTTTGGACGACCTAGGATGAGTTACTGGTTCATTCTCGCTAAATGGTAACTGTTTTGGGACCTATTAGGCAGAGTAAGTAACGGGAGTTCCATGCCATGTGTATTTTCCTCCAATCTGTAACGAGGTTTTGTTTCTCCATTGGGTCCAAAATATGCCCTAAAATGTGGTAGACGAAATCCCGATTGACCGGTTGCGGTTATTTTCACGCAATTTGTTGACAATGATCTGCATTCTCGTAGGTATTGACACCTTGTGTGTTGCCTGTACGCAGGTCTTGATGACTGTATTTCTATCAGGATAACCACCAGGCAACCCGCAGACAGCAACTTCGGTAGAGACTGCCACATCGCGTCACACGGTTGCTACACGGTTTAGTTAACGGAAAATGTGCGCTGAATGTGGTATGCGGTTTCAATACGGATAGTGTCAATTCTAATGAAGTAGAAATTGCCGTCACGAAGAGACTGGACCTTACCGTGGTGTGACGGTTTGCGCACC